ATATATAAAAAATAATGAGTATGTTTGATATAAGGTGTTATTTAAAGTAGATAAACAATAAGAAAATATCGTTTCTGTTTATATTTACAAAAATGAAGATGATTATGATTACTTTTTAAGACAGGATAGGCTAATTTCACGCCTGACGAAAGAAATTTTTTTTTTTTTTGGTTTCGGTTTTCGGATCAACATAATTATCGGCCACAATAATGAAAAAAAAGCAATGCCTTCTGTTTTTGGATTTTCTTCATGATGTTGGACATTTGCATATTAGAAACATACCGAAACAATGATATATTTTTGTCACAAAAAAATACATTTTTTCCCAATAAAATAACACTATCGTGAGATATTCATTCATTGTTGATGATTGCATGGATCAAGAAACGAAAAAATTATATTTATTCTTTGTATGTTTTATTGTGATTGGGAAAAAAACCATTGTTTCACATAAAAATCACCATTTTGTTCTCAATGATTGTTAGATTCATTATATTACTTTGTAATTCAAATACTCCTGATTCAAAAAAAAATGATGGTGATAATAAATTTATCAATCGAAATCACTCTATAGAGAAGAATTGAATAATAACAGAAAAAAATCAACAATTTGAATCTGAATCTGGCCTGACAAGAGTCCAAATATGGGCCAGATAAATTTGGATAGTTCTATGACAAAGGCAACAAAATTATCATGACACACATAATAAACACGCGACATTTGTTTGCATACAACTCATCGAAACACAATATCCACACACATTATTTTATATGTCATCAAGTTTATTGTGTAGAGATCGCGTGTCATTATGTTTTGAAAAAAATTTTAAAACATATTAAAAAAACAAAATTTTATCTAATTTAAATGAATTCTTGTGATGATGATGTTTGCCTGGTTATTTGGTTGGTTGGATGGCCATTCAATCATTATCATTTTATATATATGTGATATTGAATAATTTAGCGCAATGACAATTTTTTTTGTATGTAGCATAATATGACACGTGGCTAAAAATTTTTCTACATTTTCTCGGGTCCGATTGTTGTTCAATGAGACATATATGAATGCACAAGGTCCAAGCGAACGTGTGTGCTCAATGAACTTCTAGTGTTACTAAAACACAGACACAAACTAATATAAATATATAAAGGTAATATGGCCATGAATAGATTAATGAATGATGATTATGAAACAAACACACAGACATACACATCATAACAAACTTGATAACGAAAACAATATAACGGTGAATCGTATTTTTTTGGAAACAATGGAAATAACGAAATGAAAAATATACAACAGAAAAAAGGTGACATACGTTCCAGCCAACCAATACAATATTCATTTTTTTCTGATGTTGGTTATATAGTCCAATAAACTTTTGGGCCAGTAAATCATATTGTTCTTTGTTTGTGTAGCGAATTTTTGTTTTGTTTGCAAATTCAATACAATTCAATATTTTTTGTTTATTGTATTTGATCATTCGATTCTTTTCGATTTGATTCACATCCCCTTATACACATCTATCTAATAAGTCAGATCAGATCTTGTTTTGTTTTCCTTGCTTGGTCTCTCATCATTATATGGCAACATCACAACGATAGACTATCCGCCGAGTGATCTGAAGACAAATTGAGTTTTTTTTATGAATTCAAATTTATAATAAGAATGACTTGGTTGACTGTTTTCGATTGTTTGAAATGTCTGTTAATGACCATACCATATCGGTAACGATTGGTCAATTCAATTTTTTCCATGATAAAATATTCGAAACAAAAGCATTTTGATTGGAAATATCGATTATAATGATGATCATTTTGTCCGATAGTGTCATTCAATCATCTTTTGTTGTTTTTGTTCATTCAACATTTCAATCAAATAATTATGATGACCATATGAATGAATGATGATGAATCGATCCAACAATTTTTCTTTTCATTCATACCGACCAATTTTTGTTTTTAATGGTTAGGGAAAAAAAATATTGACTAAACATGACTTAAATTGCTTGAACGATAAAAAGTATGGATAAATTGGACATACAAAGAAAAATAAAGACAGAATTGACGACATTTTTGTTTCTTTATTTGTTTTGTTTTTTTGCTGAACACACCAATCAACTAACCAAATCGACCAGCATCACAAACGTAATAAAAATAAAAAAGACGATTTGTTTTTTGTTTCATTCACGAATAAGATTCACTTATGATCACATATGTAATTTATATTAGGTTTTTTGTTTGTTTGTTTTATTGTCGAGGTTGTTGTTTTTTTCGGTGTTATTATTATTGTTGTTTGTCAATCCGGATAGAATCATTCAATCATGAGAAAATGTGATCTCATCACATGATTATTATCATCACGACAATGATGATTACAGAATGTCGTTTTGTGTATACATAGGAGAAAAATATATAAGAAACAAAATAATCATTGTATTCCAGTGAATGACATCTCAATCTTCATTATATGGATAAAAATTTAAAATGTAGACATATAATAACTAAATTCATTTGAAAAAGCAACAACAAAACAATGAACAATTTTTTTCCGTAGTTTGTTTCTTGTTTATTCAACTCAATCGACCGGCGGCGGCAGCCAAAGCTGACTACTGTTTATGAGTTAAAGGTAAATATGAAAATAATAAAAATGAAGCTCATCGCATTATTTTTCTTTCTTCTATCTCTCTTTCTAGGATATGAAATGAATTATGATCATATCGATGATTGTAATGATTATAATTGGATCATATTGTATCGAATGCACAATCATGATTTTTTATCATTGAGAAAATAAAAGATCAATGGTTTTTTTCATCCGATAGATTTTGTATCTAGAATATCCTAAAATAATGAACAAGCACAACAAATGAAGAATCGTTTGGAAAATGAAAATTCAATGAGAATCGAATAGTGAATGTTCTTTTTTTGAATTTCTTTCACACAAAAAAGATTGTCAAAACCAATTTGTCAAAGTCAATCGTAGCGAAAGTAGGTAGGAATAAAAAAAAAAGAGAGGTATAGTGATGGTCAATACCGGGTTTTGATATTTAAAAAAATTGATATCAAAATGAATTCATTCATTGTTCATGTTCATTCCATTGTATACAATACGATTATTTATGACTTTCTTATTCAAGATAACGTCATCGTTTGTCCTGATGTCATGAAATCAGAATGGAACACACACACACACACACATACAAACATATAACCCAAGTTTAAAATTTTTTTCCTTTCTCTTTCGTTTTTTTTGTTGTTGTTGTTCATATTGTATATTCAAGCCAAGTGTCGATTACAATAAAAGACTGATATTCATATGACAAAATATAGTCAGATAGACACACACAAATAGTCACAATATGTGACACCCGTTTTTTTTCACTTTCTGGATCGTTCGTTCCGTCATCAATACCAAGATTTATAAATAAGCTAGTTAAGCTGTTAAATTGAGATAAATTAAAAGCTGATTTTCATACGGTAAATCTGAATGCGATGAATTATAATAATAATTGAAGTCAATAGACAAGAATGGGTCATTGTATGGCAGTTTTTTGTTGTTGTTGTTACTGTCATTGTACATAGGTTCATTTGTCATGCTAGTAACTACTACTGGTAATATTTGGAATCAGTAAGCTGAAAAATTATCTAAAAAACGGGGTACTAATCGTTATCGGGGCATTATTCGATTATTATTTCACATTCACATATTTCACCATTTTATTCGTTATATTATTGATACACAATCGAATCTTATTACATTGAAAGAAGGCGTGACGAAATGATAATAATAATAATAATAATGAATTAGTTTTAAAATTTTTTCTGGTCATTTGGATCGATACTTTGTTTGTATAATGGTAGTCATTGTATATTTAGGAATTTTGGTTTCCAAATATTTGCATTGGTTTAACCACTGTTAAGTTATTTTCCCTCTTGACTAATACGGTGAGTAAGTCTTTAAAAGGGACAATGTTTTTTTTCTCCATTCTATTTGTTAACTGATAAACACCAATGAAAAAAAGTGGACCATTTGTCCAAAGTAGCCATATTGTAACGATAAAATTGTTATTTTTGTTTTCTTCATTGACAGGATCGATCCATCATCGTTTGTCTATTTATTTTCATCATCATCATCATCATTTTAAAGAAAAAACCTTGTATTCGATGATCATACGTACAGAAATGATTCCAATGGTTAATCCATGATTTTTTCGTTTTCTCTTTTTTCTAAGCTTGAGTTATTGTTATGATTATTGCTCTTCATATATTTATGAATACAAACATAAATAACTTAAGAATTTTATACAAAAAAAAAGTCAAAAGGTCAATGAAAATTTCATTTCTGATTTTTTTATTTTTTTTTTCATTTTTTTTCGGACAAATGTATGGACACATGTAAAATGTATGAAGAGTACAATTGAAACCAACCAAAAATAACAATCTAATAATACAAAGTTTACCTTTCAATTTATTTATTTATTTATTTTCTTTACAATTTTTTTCTTATTCAATACATTCCTGAAATAACTTAATTTACACATAGATAGAAAAGATGTCTAATTTATGTGACACAATTTTTTTACGCAACATGTACAAACATTCGAATTGATTGTAATTGAAAAAATAGTGAATGGTGAAAATCAAAATCAAAATAAATGAATCAAAATATGGATTTTTAACAATTCATGCTGAGATTCTTTCTCTCTTTTTTTTCCTTCCATATGACTTCATTAGGATGACAAATATGTTTTGTCAATATTTTGTGACCTTTTGCAATATTTTCCAAACAATGTTCCAGAGTCAAGTTGATTTTTAGGTTGATTCTAAATTCAAATAAAAATTAAATTATTTATTGATATTTCAAAGATAAAATGTTTAGAAAAAATTGGCAGTTGAATAAAATTTTATTTTATAGGATTATTTCACAATATTCGATAATGATGATGATGACAATGTTAGAAAAAAAAGAAGAAAAAAATGGCACTTAATTAAGTAATCAGCTTGTAAGTTTTAAAATTCTGTGCTATATGTTATACATTTACAAAATCGATAATTCAATTATTCAGTTTTGTTTCAAAAACAACAAATTGTATTTTTTTAAAATTATTATTACAATACTTTCTTTATCACAAATGATGATGATATAATTTTTTTGTTGTCCAAACGGGAAAAGGTCAAATGATTAAAGATGGATAAAATCAAATAAATTCGGTTTAACATAAAATAAAAAGTGTATGTAGAAAATATATGTGTGAGAGATCGGTGGTTGATGATTATGTCCATCATTTACAATACAGGAATATTATTATTCAAGATTTTGCATCAATATGGAAAGCTCTCGAAATGATCGGCCAATTTTACCTTGTAATGTTTGTCGTTTCAATACAAATGCTCGAGCAGAAAGAAGATAATTATAACATTTCATACATTTGTTATATCTATGATGAAAAGAAAAATGATTGATTAAAGAGAAATTTTTTATTATCAATTCAAAATGATGTTACCTTTCTTCACGAGAGATATCCACACCGATACCTGGTGGAGCAGATATGTTATTCTTGATTGTAGGCGAAAATGTTTTCAATATCAAAGCCAATGCACTGCATCCTACTGACATGTAACTGGAAGTTGATTGCCAAATTATCAATCATTGATTTAAAAAAAAAGTTGAAAAAAAAAGAATTATTTTTTAAAAATTGATGACAAAACAATCAAAAAATGTCAACGAATCAAAATCAGTGTATGATGTAAATTTGACAACGAAGTGAAAAAAAAATTGAAAGCCAATTATCCTAATTATATTGATCTAGCACAGAAACAGTGATCCAAATTGTCAATGATAATAATAATGAATGTAGACCTATGGGATATATATGCAATTTAATTGACAAACACCAAGAGAAAAAGAGACCTCCATAGGAGATGTCTTTATTATTGGGTCTTCGAATAATACACGCACACACCTGCAGCTGTTGCCCATAATAATGTCTTTTATTTGGGGGGACTAACGTTGAATCATTGTCGTTTGAAAGAAAAACGCACACACATAAACAAAATATATAGAGAAAGAGAGAATAATCGTATAGCGATCATTCAATTTGGTGGTAATTGTCACCATTTTGCACAAATACAATATGAAACTGTCGGTGCCAATCGTACTAGCACGGTCCCAATATACAGTACAATAGATTTCAAAATTTCAAATGAATAAATGGATGAATGAATTGAATGGAATAATGATGATGATCGGAAAACAAACGGTCCAAAGTTTGCCGTTTTTCTCTTATGTCACAATTGTATAAACTATAGAAAGTCAGCAACAAAAATAAGTCCCGGGCATCAAATCACAATATTTAACAACAAAAAACAACGATGATGATGATGGTGTTGATGATGATGATATTGACATCACAATGTTCGCTTTGTTTGGTTTTCAACTTCAAACAACAACAGAAAAAAAAACGTCAAAATAAAATTAAATTTCATAATAAACAACTGCCTGTCTTCTTCTGTATGTGTTCATGTCATATTATGAATAGTTGACAATATTTGAATGGAAAAAATTCAGAATTCAAGATATTTAATGCACGAATATAAATAAACAATGTTATTGAAAATGAATGCTAATTGAATAATCAAAAAAGAAAAGAAAGAATATAGGCAGATAGATTTTCATTACTGGAACGGAATGTCCAAATTATTATGGAGAAAATAATTCAATCAGATCATCAATGAATCATGAATGTATCTTGGTAAGATTGTATTTTTTATGTTAATGATTCATTCCATAGTTGATTGATGAAATCATTATGTTGAACAATGTTAGCTACGATTTCAAGCAAATAGCGGATAGCTTTGATCATACGATCAATAAGTTGTTTGAATGTGACAGCCATTCTAAACTTTATGAATGATTTGGAACAAGAGCTTGATAATAATAATAATAAACGTCAACGTCGTCAGGTAAAATAATATCCTAGATTGACATGTGATAGACGTGAAAAAGCAAAATGAACAAAACAAAAACAAACTATATCTGAGAGCTCTTTTCTTTTCGCATTTAAGTGCTACTGCATTTTTTTCTCCTTTAGTATGAAATCCGAGACATTTCACACACAATGAATGAATGCAAAGTATAATTGAACCTAAAAAATGACATCTTTTTGCTCTAAAATCAATTTATCGGATGAGAAAAATCTCCAAGTGTGCTTATTTCAGGAGGTTTCGGTTTAATAAACACTAAAGCAAGGTGCATATTTGAAAAATTTTTCAACAATATTGTGACTGCACAAAAAGTGAATAAAAGTATAGATTTACGATTTTATGATTTACGCAATGGCAATGACAATAAGATAAATATGGCCTTTTTACTGGCGGAAAGCAGCCATTCTTTTGATCCATTGTTCCATGTGTTTTTCTTTTTTGTGATTCAAGAAAGATGAGCGATTTTATTAAAAAAGCAGCCAAAAGAAAGATTGATCAAATCGTATTAGAAAAAAATCCAAGTGAAACAGGCGAGGACGAACATAAACAACAACAAAAGCACCAACAATAACAACAACAACAACTTTAGATCTTTTTTCCTGGATTAACTCTAGGTCCCATGCACAAACAAATAAACAAACAAACAAACAAATAAATAGACAGTAAACTTGGTTCTCTCTCTTATCCACAAAAAATTTCATTCATTGAAAAATTTGTGAAAAAAAAACATTCAAGTGACAACCAGATGACAATAACCATTGATGACTACAATCACAAGGAAAGTAGAGATGCACTTTTTTTACAATGAATAAAATTTTGAATTATAAGCTTTAAAGCTGCTTAGGAAGATTTTTTTTCATATACATTCATCAAAGATTCAAAAATTCAATCTGTTATCTTTTTTTTTAGTTTTGCTGTAAAAATGATGATCCCATTATCAAAAAAAAAGTAGCATGAGCAGGTACGGAGTGTGAGAGATATATAAAGAGAGAAGGAGTAAGTGATTATCATACACTTTCAATCTCAATATGCATAAAATTCAATTAGATTTCGAGACAAAAAAAAAATCTAAATGATTAATATGGCATTGAAATGAGCATTTTCCCTGTGATCGGACAATAAATTGGAATAAATCAGTAAAATAATGAATGAAAAAAACGGGAAACAATCATCATCATCTATAGAAATAAAAAGAGAGAGACGATATCAGATAGGCAAACATTTTGTTCATTTGTTTATGTCACCAAAAACGATCAACATTTTGGGGGTTTCAACCTCAGATGAATATATGAGAAATTCGAAATAAAATATCAAGACAATATACTTTGGGATATACTACTAATGGATTCAATATCATACTATTATCATGTTGATTAGATCTAAACTGAATACTATAAAAAAAATCAAAAGGTTGCAAAAACGCTACAACGATATCAGACTTATTTCCAATACTCATTTTTTTTGGGTACATTATTCTGGATTATGACTATTATTATTATTATTATTGTTATCGTTCAACGGTCACACACGGTTGTATAAAATATATTTTTTTGGGAAAAAAGGCAAGCAGACGGGTGACCCATGATTATCACCAATAAATGAATGAATAAATTTTTTTCCTTTGACACATCATGTCTCAAAAATCAGCCAACCAGACAAAAACACACCCGTAACATCTCAATATGGAACAACAATAACAACAACAACAACAACAATCGAACAGAATAAGAATGAGATCGATAGACAAAAGAACAAAATGATCCAAAATAATAAAAAAAAGAGCAATTTGGCTTTGCTTTAGTTTGTCAAAGGTCAGATGCTAAACTATTAGAGTAAATCCATTAGAAGGGAGATATTTTTCAAATAATAATATTAACCATGTACTCTCTTATTGCTGAATATATTATAAATGGTGAATTGTATTGAATAATAATCGATCATGGTATGAATGAAACTTGTCCTCATCACTTCCAATAAATGTTCCCGAACAACTAAGCCTATTTTTTCCTTAGTTTAAATAAGACGGTCAAGTTTTAAAAATCAAATCGAATGATTGTGTCATAAGTAGAACCTAAATAATAATAATAATAATAAGTGAATAAAACACTAAACTGTCAAATACAGTATGACAATAAACAAATGGATCTTAAAGTTCATGCAATATTTTTTTTTATTTATTTCTTTTGTATTTTGTGTTTGTGTTGCTGTTCACAATTCAAATAATTCATTCGAGCAGGAAAAATATTGTCTAATGTATTTGTAATGAAATAAAATCGAAACAACAACAACAACAACTGGCGATGACAACAAATCTGAAAACTCGGGTGTAATGTTTACATACATACGTACAATTAAACAAATATAATGGACATTCATACAGGTAAGCATTACAGGTATGTATTATATCCGTGAATCATAATTCATTCTATGGTCCAAATCATGATCAATTGAGCATTATTAACAAACAACAATCATAACATATAAAGCTATTTCTAAATCCCACCATGAAAAGATTAATGGCTATGATTATTTTCATTCAATCAATTTTATCTCATGAAAAAAATGGAAACTAACGATTAGAAACAAATTCTTTTTTCGAATGTTTTACGAAAAAAAATTCAATTTTGAAATCTTTAACCGCCATCTATTGATGAGCTAATAAAATACTAACCTTTCATATTTACTTTGAAGTAGTTCCTGTATGCATGGTAATAAAATCAAAGCAATGTCCAAATTCCAGACCGATCTAAACAAAAATAATAGAAATTACAAAGATCATTAAATAAAAAAAAAATTTGAATTATTAACATACGGTTTCCAAATCATAACATTCAATATATCAATAATGATTGATTTTTCATCCAAATTGATGGCATATTCCAAAGCAGTTTTTGAATCTTTTGTTGCCCACATAGCCAATACAATCTGTACTTGTTTTCTTCGATAATCTAGACCAGCTTTGGCTGCTTTATGTCCTTTCATTATCGTATTAATTGTTTCAATTTCAGAAATGAAAGGCTGTGAATCACAACCATATTGTTGTATATGTTTCGGTAGAAAATCGTTAAAATCCAGACCGGCTGGATGATCACGTATTTCTGGTATGATCATAGTAGAATCATTTGTATTGCTATGGTTCATTGATGATAATGATTTGACGCCAGTTATTATATGGTCATCATTGTTCGCAGAATTGGAAGATTTTTGCTGATAACTCGAATAGCTGCTTGTGATGGATGGTCGATTTGAATCGTTTATAATTGGACGAACCATAGATGTTATTTTATTTGGTGTCAATGTCGTTGCTAATGTAGATGTATTATTATTATTGCTTTTGGATTTTTCATTCAATTTTGTTGATGACAATTTATTAATCGTGGTTGTTGGTGTTGCTGTTGATGATGATGTGGCGGAATTACCATGATGAACAGAGGGCGAAAGTGGTCCTACTGATAAAGAATGGTGATTCAATGGAGACAGTGTAGTATTGCTATTAGATGCATTAGCATATAGAGATGAATACAATGGATTGGATGTCGAAATTAATGATGGTGTGTTTATCAATTTATTGTGACTTATATTCGTAATATTGGGAAATGTTGTCACATGATGACCATCACCGTTAACATGCTTCAATTGATTAAGAGCAGTTAGAGATGTAGAATGCGGTAGGATATGATTATTATTCGCAATATTTGAATCTTTTATGACCGTTGTTGAATTATCGTTGCTATTATTTGCAATAATAGGCGACAATGGAGTGGAAGGAAAAATATTATTGTTTCGATGATTTAAATTAAGATTGTTGAGTGATTCAGATAGATGGCGAACAGAATGCAATGGGGTTGATATTGTTGTTGGTCCTTTGGCCATCATTAGACCGGATTTGAGCGATGGTTTTTGGCCGACGGCAAAACCAGTCGTAGATGAAGAAAGACTTGTCGGTTCGAATTGTAGGCTACGTAAATTTTGATCTATAAAATAAAATTGTTAAAAAAACTCATTAATCATATGAAATCGATTGAATGATGAAATGATTATAATACCGTTAGGTGTGCTATCATCTAATGGCGGAGGTGTGCGCATTACTATTGTGCATCAAATAACATTCAAAAACATAATAAGTAACATTACCAACGAAACGATAAAAATGAAAATAAAAGCAAAACAAAACAAAAACAAAAACATAACAAAACAAAAATTATAAGATTAACAGAAGCATATAAAAATCAATTGAGGAAAAAAAATATAGTTACATTCTCTTCGCGATTGAAATATTTCTTTATAATCACAGGTATTGTAAATTTCTGCCAATGAATCGCCGCCATCTGATCCATTCATTGTATCCATATCATCCGTTCGACTTGATTCTAAAGATCTAGAATAAATTCCATTATGAGATAAATAGCAAATTGATTGGTCAATGTTTTCATACTCTAGTTGTTTACAAGTTTTGCTTGTATGTTCGAAATTGAAATTTCTTCGTGTACTTTGCCGAAGAACATTGTCACGTGTACAAATGTTAGATTTAGTGTTATTATAATTGAATGGCTGTATGGTATTCAAATCGACCATATACACTGAAACATTTGTAGTTGAAAATGTTCCGGCAATAATTTGTTCATCCATAATGGTCATATCATTTAATCGTCCCCATTTTGTTTGTGCAACATCATAAAGATGTGTTGGCTCCCATCCGAATACTTTCATTGCATCTTTACCACTGGCAATCAATGCTTTGCCTTCAGGATGGAAAGCAATCTTTCTGATGGCTCCAATATCGGATTGATAGGTTGTCGTCGATACTTGAAGAAAACTTTCTAAATCCCAAAATTTTACTGTACCATCGGAACTTGAACTGGCCAATAGGAATTCATTTGGATGAAAAACCACATCGGTTACGGATGATGAATGACCTTTCAATTCGGCAAGCATTTTTCCAGCAACAATATCATATAACATCACAGATCCTTCATTACCACCAGATGCAAGCCAACGGCCATCCGGGCTAAGTTTCAGGCAGTGTACATCTTTTGTGTGTACCTATATCGATTTCAAAAGAAATTAATGAAATAAATGTAAATTTAAATCAATTCAATTTTTACCTTGTATGTAATGATACATGTCTTTTTTCTATAGTCCCATAATTTAATACTAGTATCAAATGATCCAGAAGCAAGAAAATGGCCATATGGATGAAAATCAAGACAACGTACATTAGTCTTGTGACCAGTTAATGTTTGTATCACTGTTGAGAAAAAAAATGAAAAGATAATTAGAATAATTCAATTCATTGATAAAATGAAAATACAATACATTTGGCTGCTTCAAGATCCCAAAGTTTAATGGCACCAGATGCGGAACCAGCTCCGACAATATCTTCATTTTGATTAAATTTGACGCATTCGATTGAAGTTCGATGGCCATTTAAGCTCTACAAGAAAAAAATATTCAAAAACAAAATTAAATTAGAAATTTATTTTCGATTACGATGAAAATAATGAGAAAATTCTGATGATTGTTCAAAAAAAAATCATTTTAAATTGGCCACAGGTGGACATTTTGACAACAATAAGAGGGTAATGAACTCTGGTAGAAGGAAGTGTAAAATCATCTCATCATTATCATTTGAGGTAGACTTGAATTACATTTTAAATTATAGACATAGGAGAATTAGATGTGTGTGTGTGTGTGTGCAGAAACCACACAAGATCACCGAGGGTGACAAATTCATTGTACACCTGTTCTTTGTTAGTGATAGTGAATTGAAAACAATAAAAATTAAATAATCACAAATGAATATATATAATGATTCTTGACAACGCTTCCTAGTGGCAATTAGAAAATTCTATACATTCATTCAGAAGCCGTTAACCTTTACCAAAAAAAAAGTACTTGAAAGAAAAAAGGTTGAAAACCTTTTCATAAAGAGGTTGTTGGCTTCATTCATTATCAATGACGGTCATGTCTATCTATATGCCGAATCAAAGTCGATAAAAAAAATAATGATAAACAATGTTATTAATCGATGAAAAAACTGATATTGGAAAAATAATCTTTTTTTTGAAAATAATGTCTGAATGAATCGAATTCTTTCACTATTTGATTTATAAAATTATCAAGCAATCAATCAATGAATCAATCGATTTTTTTCATTATTTGTAAAAATCGATCGATCAATCAAATATAACAGACGATATTTTTTTTTTGTTGGTTATAAAAATCGTTTTATTTTTAAGTTTTTCTATACAAACTGTGGCTACTTGAAAGAATTCTGAAGAAATCCTTTTCACCTACCACCATCACACCATTCAGGAAGTTCAATGATCTACATTCTTAATTATAGTTAACAACAATCTTCTCTCTGTCTGCTGTTGAACATAATTGGCATAGAAAAAGAAATGATGATGATGATATAATATTTAGAAGAAACTGATGAAATGAATATAGCAATTTTCGTTTTGCAAATGATTCTGAAGATTCATATGACAATAAAATCAGTGTAAAATATAATAATGAAAAAAAATTAAGATTGTTTCGCAGCTGTCCAAAGCAAAAACAAAAACAAATTTCCGAACAATAAACATAATGAACTTGGCCATTTGACCGCTTTAGGTGTTGAAAAATGTGCGAGAGAAAAGATTTCGTCCATTAGATATAAAATTTTTTCATTTACAAAGATAATTAGACAAAATTGTTTCAGAAACGTGTTCGCTCTTTTTTTCTGTGTATTCCTATCAATTTTTTTCTCTAGGCCACCATCACATACATTAAACAGATTGCTGTTCATTCTAAATTTTTCAACATTTGTGAATATCTTTGCATTTTATGAAAAAAAAACAAAATTTTGTTTTTTTGCATTCAATTTCGAAAATAAATCATCACGTTGCACGCGTTGAACTGTTACTTGGTTTTAGATATTTGAAAAATACACCTAAACTAATTATTCGATCCATTTCAATGAAATGGATCGATTAAATTGTAACAAATTAATTATATAATCACAACATATGGCTACTGTTACGCGTATCGGATCCCTTTGCAAAAAGAGAAAAACATAATTTGCTACTTGTAAGCCAAATTTAGATTCAACTTGTATTGATAACATAGAATTTTGAAAAAATTACAAAAATACAAGAAAAAAAATCATTGAAAAAACAGATTCATTTCTGTCGTGATAAATGATACAATTAAATATGAATTTTATCGACAAACTTAGAAAAACATTTTTTTTTCTTTCCAAAAATAGCTCTTCATTGACATGACATATCAAGTACAAGTGATATTTGAAATACATGTGCTTAGTTTTTCTAAAATTACAGTTTAGATGTTAAATAATTTCAACAACAGTCACAATGATTGCAATGAAAAAAAGATTTGATTCAATCGACAATTGAATCAATCAAAAAATCTAATAAAATACACTACCGAATTGAGAATAGAATGTACTCAATGACAAAATGATTTTTCAAAAAAGTAAGTATTCGATAAAGCCTACACTAAAATACATGGACAATTGTTCAATAGAAATACGACCAAAATTGGCATTTTTAACATTTCAAAACAATATGTTAACGAAATAAAAAAAATCAAGGTACGTAAATACCAAACATAAGTAAATAAATTGAAAATAATGATAATTTAACGACAATTTATACGAAAAAAAACTATTTATGTAAGAATACTTTGGATTTTTTTCTGGTGTCGATCAACATGACACAGGTAATACAAGTATTAGATTTGATATTAAATCATGAAAAAAATTTGATGACAGATTGGGCGCCTAGTTTTTTTCTATACAGTTAAAATAAGATGAGATTTTAAATTCGTACCGAGACGAGACTGGTTTCAATTTTTTTTTCAAAAATAATAATTCAACACCAACATCAATCTCAAGGTTTAATAATAATGATAATAATGTTGATGTAAGATATATAGGTGAAATTTTCATTTTCTTAACTTTCTAACTTCTGGGTTGAAATTTAGAGGATCATTCGAACCGATTATAATGGGAATTCTTTTAAGTATATCTTTTAAGGATATCCATGGCCAGTTGAAAAGAACTTTGTTTTCATATCAGTATATTGTATGATTGAAATAAAAATAGAATGAGTGTGAACCAGATTTTTTAACAAGCCCGAACAAAAAAAAACAAGATTATAATGGTTAGTTATATTATGAAAAAAAAAGAAATAATAACAAACCAACAGATATATTATGATAAGAAAAATCAGAGGCTCGACATCATACACACACACACACACAAACAATGACTGACAGGTGAATCAATTAGAAATATCTCAATGCAATGAAAAAGAAATTTTTTCATTTTTGACCGGTCGACTGATTGTGTATATGTATTTAGAATGGTCATCATATAATAGACGATGACAACGTGATTCGTTAGATTCGAATGAATGGATTAATAATATGATTCGATCAAACCGGTCGAAAAAAAACAGAAAACACACAAAATGAATAGAATGGATGATTGCATTGTTGGTTCACCGTGATACGGACGAATAACAGAACAAAAAAAAAGATAATAATGAAAAGTATTATATATTTGGGACAATAACAACAAAAAAAACACTACATACCATAATACAATTTGGTTTACCAATGGCCCATAAATTTATTTTGGCATCATCACCACCGGTTACCATAACACGTCCAGATTTTTGTCCTAAAGCCAAACATGTGACAGCAGATCCATGGGCGACAAATTCATCTGATTGTCAGATTTTCGATGAAAAAATAAACGATCAAATAATGATGGATGAAAATGTTACATGTAAGGATGAGAAAATATAGATAATAAAAATTAATTCATTTGTCAAACAACAAGTGTTGTTAATGATAAAGTTATCAAATAATTTAGTGTTTAACAAATGTTAAAGATATAGTTTATTTTCAATAATAATTTATCAAATCAAAAATATTTTGATCAATTAATTCGATCGGTAATTTAGTGATAAATATACTTGATAGAAAACGGGTTTTTCTTTCCTCGAAAAAACTTGTTCTTATACAATATTAAATATAATAAAAGATTATCAACAACAACAAGATCATCATAATTTGTAACAGCCGAGTTTAATATCAATGTCGAATTTAGTGATCGCGCAATATTTTTTTTCTCATTTAGACTTGTTGAAATTTTTTTATTTTTTTTGTGCGTGTGTGTGTGTTTACAATGTAACCACTTATTGTTGATTGCTATTAAATGATGATGATGATGATGATAATGATGATTGTGCCAACGCTGACCTAGAATTTCAATATTCTTGATAGACATCAAAATCATAATTTAAAAATGAAGGGTTAGGCCAGATTGAGATTTAAATCTAAATCAACATATAGAACCATAATCATCATCATCCTTGACAATCGAATGTATGTTGTTTTTTTTGAAAATAATTGTTCAAAAAGACATACATAGTGAATGATGAAATAGTAGGATGCTGTGTGAACATCAACATTCATAGGAAAAACCGTTCTTACATTAGAAAAACTGAACCAAAAGTTAGGTCAAATGTTAGAAACATCTTTTGATGATGATGATAATGATTCAAAAGCCATAATTTCCTACGAATGTATTGTTTGTTTGTCTGTTCACAATCATCATCATCATCATGATTTTCATTTCTGAATTTTTGTGAATTGTGAAGATGTTCCATTTTTTCCAGTAATAACTTATGAATGAAAATAAAATAATAATTATAATCAAGACAGTTAAAAATCAAAATCATCATCATCATTATTTTCATTGTACAATCAATTTTTTGATTTTTTTTCTTCTCATTTTAATCGAAAAAGAAAAATAAGTTTACCTTATGAAAATCAATTGATTCAACGCACAATAGTTTACGAAAATAAATTCGATACCAAGCCTATCGACCAATCAGATAACTTACCTAACAGAAAAAAATGAAGAATTGATTTTCTTTTTCATCGAAATATATGAATAAGTTTTTGAAATATAAGTGTATAATAATCATAATAACAATTTCGCAAAAAAAAAGTAAAATTAATATAACACTTGAGGCATTTGAAGTTAACTAAATAATGAATGAATGTATGCAATTGGTCGGCAGGTTGCATCCCACACATTAACCACAAATAAATTTGTTTTGAAGGTGAAAATAACTAATGGAATATTTAAAAAGTCAAATAGCCATTATCATCATCATCATCATCATCATCTTCACCGACATCGTTATTATCACAGGCTAGGCAAATATTATGGCGCTAGAAAAAGGAGGTTAAATTTAGCACGTTTTTTTTCTCTGGGATTGTATTGAATATAAGTTATATTTATATACATAAAATATGAACATAATAATAATCATAATAAAGAGTAAATATAGTAGATAGGGATTGTTTTTGACCATCACCATTCCATAATCGTTATTTATCTATACATTCAAACAATGCTAGCACATCATATTCTGTGAATACATTTATTCATATGCTTAGGAAAAAACCAACATTTGAATAAATAAAAAAAATCAATGCAATGAAATTCAAATACAAAACAAAAGCTACATGTAAAAAACACACACACATACACAACGAGGGAGAACATCTAATGAGAAAGATAACCGAAAAACAACCAGATAAAAAAAATCGACATGGAAAATCTAAATTTATATCTATTTCATTTCAAAAGTTTGCCCAGGATTTCATTCCATTTTTTGCTGTTGCTTTTTTTTCTTCACCACAATCTGACGATGATGAAAAATCTGACAAGAACAATGATGACGATAAATAAATGAATGCATGGATGTTCATTGCTTGCTCCTCGATTGTTTCATCAAATCTTATTGCGTCCATGCTTCTAAACATAGAAAAAAATTGATGCATATCCATTTAGTTAGTTTGCCTATTGTTCATTTGAACATTTGTATTATATTCATTCATTCAATCATTCATATCCCAAAGTCATAACGAATCGATACTAATCACCAAAATGAATTGATTATTGCTCATATTAAAAGTAATGATGAAAATTAAAAACAAAAAAAATTATTATTATCATTGAGATAATTATAAATCAATCAGCTTATTGGGAAAAATAAATTATCCATTTTGATCGTGATCAAAATTTTATGCCCTCAATTTAACATATCAGATGACCAAAATAAAAAAAAACCTGATGCAATAAATAATTTAACCCGTTTTTGGAATTTTATTTTACTGTTTGGTTGCAATTTGTATACGATCAATTGAAAATCTTGATGACCAACTGTTGTGTATGAAAAATATAAACATAAAGATAAAATGCGTGATGTGCAGATGGTAAATCACAATTCACGTATGGCTGATTCGTGAATAATAAAAACAAAAGCAACTGTGAAAGTGTGATCACACAAACATATCAATCAATTTGAATCACAATGATAATATGATTCTCATTTCCATTGAAAATGATAGGATATTTTTTACATAAAGAATAACAATGATGCATCTTGTAAACAGGTTAGTTAGTGGACAAAATTAGGACAAAATGCAAGTCAAAAATGAATAAAAAAGATATTCTGATTTGATTGGATAGATTAGCCAAACAATTAACACGAATTGTGCGTCACACACATACACAAATGCATAAATGAATGAATTATAATGGTTTCATTATAGCATCATCAAACATGTCTACAAAGATGAGATTTGTTCAATTGTTCAGACAATCTGTCTACACAATATACAAGATAACGTCGAAAATTTGATTTATATTTATAACATTCAACAAAGAAAAGAAACAAGAAAAAACCAATTCGTTTCTAACAAAAAATAAGAGGATGATGACATAAGGAAGCACGATTTTCTGTTATAATTATGAATAAATATGGATCAATCAATGCAAATTGTATTGAATTGCTTTGTTTCAAATCGGTTACAAAAATTTCGATAATTATCGAAGAAACTGAGATGACAATCGACATAAATAATGATAAATAATATCAATATCATTATTGATCTATCAGTAAGGTAGCCGATTTTGCTATTAGATCAAAATTACTCATTGATAACAATTCAAACTAATGTATTGGATGAAAATAAATCAGATCGTAAATAGAATGAAAAAATCGTGAAAGAAGAAATACTCATCATCCTTCAACCATAAGAAAAACGTACGTTTAGTTATTTTTGGGTGATTGAATTTAATGGATCGTGTCGCGTGACTTTTGATGCCGGTACCAGTATTAGTACCGATTATTGATGTTTTTGTATCCGTTTTTGCTGGTGAAGATGAAAAATGTTCATTCATCAACGATGACATCGATGATGATGATGATGAATGATTATTATGAGAACGTTTATAGTTCAAGAACAAGGATAAATAATCCGACGATGTTGTATCGGAATCAGGTGATGATGTTACCGAAGATGATGAACAACTGTTTGCTGTTGTTGTTGATGAATAACTACCAAATATTGATGATGTCCATTTAGGTTTCGTAATTGTAGTATTGGTCAGTGTACACGATGACAGAGATGCTGCCATTTTACCGATGCAAAAATATTTTTTCCAAAAATAATTTTTGAAAATTCATAGAAAATGTACACGAAAAAAGTTTTGAATATAACTATACACATTTGAGATGATTGGCACGAATGATGATGACGGAAAAAAGTGAAAATGAAATCTTCTAAATGTCCATCATTTAGGATGATAATTTTTTCGATTTTTTCAAATCGAGAAAAAAATTGAAATTTTTAATTTAAAAAAATAAACGTATCAGGTTTTTTTTTGAAAGTGGCAATTTATAAAATAAAACCGGATGAGTTTCACACAGAAACACTGTCATTAATTTTGTTTGAAAAGTTATCAGTGATAATCATCGAATTGATTGATCGTGGAACGTTATGGAAAAAAAAGTCCAAACAAAAAAAAAGCCGATCATATGATCATACTTGGAATAACAATATGGAATGGTCATGTTGAATACAATCATCTTCAACAACATATTACTATTTAATTCAATTCATTTTATTTCTATTCGAATGAAAAAAATTGTTGTTTCATGTGGGATGCTCTTTCAAGGAAAAGAGAATCCAAAAGACTGTCTAATAAAAAAAAAGAAAAGATTTTTCTCTTTTTCTTTATTGATCAGAGTTTTTCCCCTATTTTCTCTTCAAATGTTTAGTTGCCAAGTCTCTTTTCAGTTTTTATCATCAAAATTGTTGAAAACAAACAAACAAAAAATAAATAATTTTGTTTTAGAATGTGCAATATATATAAATTGTCAACAATACAATGTACATTGTGTATTTGATTGTGATTTTTCTATATTCAAGAATGAATGGTTAAAATTACAAGGAAAATACACACATAAAGATATATAAAACCAGCTATATTCGATTTGTTTGTTCTTTCAGAAAAAAAACAGGTTGAGAAAGTGAAGAAGATACATACAACTAATATTATTGAACATCGTCAGGGACATGAAATATTGTTGAATAATTTGATGTGAAAAATCATTGCACTAATAATGAAATGATTATGGATCGATTTGTATGATGATTTCTATAAAAAGCAAACTTACAAACAGACTTATACACACACACACAAAAAAAAAGACACAGATGGAATTTTAAACAATTTATTTCGTACAAATTAGTTGAATGACTGTTTACGGAAGAGGAATTTATTAATCGTGCTTTTATCACAGCAAAAAATGTGTGGCCAAATCTGTGTGTTTTTTGAAGGACATATATTCAATGAATTGTTTGTATGAAAAAAAAATTTAATAAAAATCAATCGTGATTTTAATCTTGTTTTTATAAAACAAACAATGTCAATGTTTTTCGTTTTTTTTGCAATTTCTGTTCATGACCAAATTATTATAATTTTTCCGAAACAGGTGAAAATGAAAATAAATATTTTCATCTATGGAAAAGAAGAAATTAGATATTTATAGAATTGAAAGCATTCCTTGTACCGTTTGATTTCATTTGATAACGTTTAAATGTTGTGTTGCAAGATTTTTGTTAATCAATGCAATCAATTCTAATGATAAATAAATAATGAGATTTTTTTTTTAATTTTATCATGATCGATTGTGTCTTGAAAAATATTTTGACATAAAAAGAAAGGATTTTCACACGAAAATTTGCTATCCAAACATTGCTATTTATTTAGCAAAAAGAAAAACCAATCTGGCCAGTCAAATAAATACAAAAAAAAGATAATGAGAATTAAATTTAATTAACGAAAACGATGATGAATTACAATCTGAATGAAAAAAACTAATCAACAGATGACTACTATATTGACAATACTTTATTTGGTCAGATGTTGTTTTTATTATTATTATCAACATTTTTCTCTAAAAAGATATCAACACTTTTAAAAAACAAACAATAAATTTAACGAGTTCCTCACCAAAAAAAAACATGATTGCCAAAATGATTTAGCGTCGTTTTTTCTTTTTGATACGCAATTATTTTTGGTTCATTTTTGTGTTTGTCTGCGTGCGAAAATAACGCACCTATAAAATTTACAAATTTTAATTTTTTTTTCATACCTGGTTTGCGTATTTGGGAAAAATACATAGATTTGTTTTTTATGTTCCGGGATTAGCTGACTGAATGAAGATGATTGTCTAAAAACACAGAACAGAACGAATAAACAATCGTGGACACAATTGAAAAGAAAAAAAAAACAAAATGAAATGACCGGAAAGCTAAAATAATAAAGCATCGAATAAAAGGGAAAGAAACAAAGATTAAGTTTTATCATTTGATGATGATGATGATGGACAACTGAAAATGCATCATCATCATCATAATTTTGTTGATGAGAAATGTACATTAACTATATCTAAGCTTGGAGACATATATTGGTGGATTTAATTTATTTTTTCCCTTGCATCTATCATTATTCGATGGACATGATAAGAAAAAAAGAAAAAAATCAGAACGAAATTGAATGATTGGATTGATCGATTGATCATCAGAAAACAAATTGCTACATTCATTGTATTATGAGAATGAAAAAGACAATGAAGTTTTTTCTAAATTGAACAAATGTAAATTTTTTTTGAAGCACACGAACATGGGTGATTATTTTATTCAGCCATCATTTCATTTCATTTTCATTCAATCGATAATGACTATTGTCGAATGGAATTAAATTCAACAATATCGATTGAATTGGAAAAAAATGAAAATCGGTCGGCTATCTGGTCTCGGTTCATAATCTTAGAAATAATCATAAAATATGAAGATAATGAATGAATTTATTTAAGAAAGTGAAAAAATTAAGAAATATTCCCTTAAATAATGTTATTGCGATATAGACAAGATTATTAAACAAAACAAAACGAATAATGATTATTTTATCATTAATGATAATATCTTAATTCATGGAATGAATTATAATTATAATCCATGCGAACATAAAATATTGAAGTTAATTAAAATATTACATAATTTCATCTCTGTCCATTCAGTTTTATTCGATGGTAAATGGCAGCTTCTAATTTTGTTTTTTCTATTTGTTTCCATTATATGAGAAAAACAAACTGACAAAAAAAACAAAAAACATCCAGCTAGGACTAATCGACATAATAAAGATGAACATATAGTTAAATATAGCTAAACATCAATCTTTAAAATACCACATTCAGTTTTCATACATAATTTGGTTAGTTACGCTCTAAGTTCATCATTCATTCATTCATTCATTCATTGAACAAAACAATCTTCGGTTAAATTCATTTGTTTAAAAAACCATTAAAAACAAAACCCTAAAAAAACTTGACTTCACGCAATGAAACATTTCACACTGAATCCGGTCAAATTAAGCTAAAAGCACAAAAAAAAATTCAATTTAATTATCCTTTTCGATGCTTGCAGGCAGGAGACTAAGATCGTATGATTGGTCATCCATCATTTGTAAATATGAAAGTTGATTACCAGTTGGTCAATAGGAAAAAATGTGTCGTAAAAAAATATACTAATATATCCAAAGTTTTCATTTGTAATGGATGTGTACATTAATTTATTGAATCGATGGTTGAAAATTGGTTACTCTAAACAACACAAACATCATCACCGTCAAGGTCAAGAATTATTGATTATCTTAATTAACAACAAACAGTTAAAATTCAAACTGGATTGTTACGATGATTTGAGCAATGGTAGGTCATAACATGTACATATCCTTAATCATACATATAATGATGATCATGTTTAGGTATAGTTACTGCTTTAAAAGTAGATAAATTCTACTGAACAAGTTTGAAATGTAATTTGATAATAAAACTAAATAAACTAGATACGATCATACAAGATCTGGATATATACAACCTGCTTGAATGAACGAAGGCAAAAAAGATTCAAATTTCGACAAAAATATTTTTTAAATTTCAATTACAACTAATAAAATTTAAATATTTTCATTTTATTTTTATTATTATTATTAGTGAAAAATAAATAAATCTAAATGGGAAAGAAATTCATCCACTTACATAGTTTATAATTTCGGCCAGTAAAATATGGAGACATGTTTTGACTTGTTGAAACGATCGATAATCCCAATCAATCATAGATACAAGAGATGACCGGTATTTGGGTGCGTTATGGGAGCTGATTTTTTGATTTGTTTATGTTTATCAATGAATGACTGTTTAGTCATAAATTTTCATTTATGTTTTTTTGCTTTACCACAAAATAAACTCGATTAAAATTTGCTGAAATCGATGACTGACTTTTGAGATTTGACTTTTCATAAACTATTGTGAACACATACGATACAAAAAAAAACAGACAAGAGTTATCAAACACAGAGAAAATTTGAAAATCAAATGAATGTTGATTCAATAGATTTTGAAGCTTTTTTCATTATAATAAAGTACAAATGATACGTTATTTATATGTTTTTATTCCAAAAAAATATAATAAACAACGTTTTTAAAACGTCAATTTATCGACATACGATTCATGAATAAATTTAAAACGTTTTTTATATGATGCACAATAAAATTAATATAATTGATCGATTAAGATTTTGACTATAATTTATGACATTTTTTATCTCTTCGTAATTATATGTTGATAAATAAAATGAATAATTTTGTTCTTCGTTTATTGATGATGACAATATTTTTTTTCAAATTTTTGTCAATAAATGTCCATGTCACATTTATACAAACTACAAAAGTGATACGTGTTGAATGTTTTTTCCTCGCTATTTTTCTATTTGATCATTGATTGACACATTTCAATTGGGTAAGTCATATTCGATACATTTATTTATTATTTCCAAACAACAACAAAACGAGTATCGATATGTACATAGCACTAGTCATCACCACCTCCATCATCATCAGTTACCCACTTGTTGTTGTGACATTCGATCATTGATTGATGATCATTGATAACTGCCATATGATGATAAAATAATGGTAATGGGGTCGTCAAGGCTACATTTCGGTTTTTTCCAATATTTGTTATTGAGCAATCATTGTTATTCACAGAAAAAGGATGTATAAAAATCACTATTATTTTTTAATTATTATCGATGAAGGAAGCTAAAGCATCACATTTTTAGACTTAATATTTTAAATATTATGATATGATTAATAATTTATGGGTATAGTGATGATTATTCACATGAATTGAATAGAAGTTTTATTTCCTCGTTGATTCTCATCATGTATATTTTTTTATTTTGATCTCGGAATGCTTTTATTTTAACGAATTTACGATTATAACTATATATGACTGTATGATGATGAAGATGATGAAAGAAAAACGATAATTTTACATTTTTAAATTTTGTCAGTTTCCAAGCAATATTATTGATTCTTAAAAATTAACAAAAAAATGAGATATATGATGACTGATAAAAATACAGTTAAATTGAGAATTGATTTTGATTAAGGTCGAATTCATCTCACTTATTTCGAAAATGCAAATCATTTTCAATGATTGATCAATGTATTGATGATAACAATGTTATAAACACACAGACATATTAGACCACGAATAGATAGAATAACACATACATCACAAAACATAAATTCATATCAAATTATAGAATTTTTTTTTAATTTTGTTATTAAGATTTGGCTGATATGCAATACTGTAAAACATATATTGTGTCACGATGAAATATAAAACGTCAAATGTAATCCGAAGAATCCCGTTTGCAATAATTGTTCTGTTTGAGAAAAAAATAGTTAGAGGTTAGAGCGCCAAATCCATAAAATTATTCCTGTATCACCACTACCACCAATCCTTTTGCAAGTCGTGGTTCCAAAAAAAAAACAAAACAAAAATGAAATCAAATGTTCAACCTACCTAGAAATTGATTCTGTAGCAAAATGATAATTTGAACTTCGAGAATAGCATTGGCGATCAAAACTGGTCAGTTAATTAGTTAGTTAGTAAAAATACAAATCGAAATAAATTCAAGCAGGTTGAATTATCATTATTATCAACGATAATCATAATCAAAACAAAATACAAACTCACGACAATCCACACAAATATGCTACAATGGGCTTTTTAAATCGTCGATTTTGTGAATGCAAACAGCAAAGAAAGAGAGAGAGAAAAAGAGAAGCAGCGGACACACATCGGCAAATCCAATATTCAATGTTACCTTGCAGTTTGTGTATGTGTGTGTATATGCAAGGATAGTTTTGTTTTATCATCGCCATACACATTGATTACCTTTTTTTGATGTTATGTTCCACTATCCAACAACAGACGATGACGGAGATAGAAACGTGAGTGAACTCGATATGTTATTTGGAGACAGGTACCCAAAAGAGAGAACTAGGCTATGATTTAGCTTGTGGACCCGTTCAACATCGAGAAAACGACAACGATTAATATTTATGTGTGTGTGTATATACGGTCGCTATTGTCGTCTTGACAACCCAGCTTTTGAGTATATGCTAGAAAAAAAATAATAATAAAAACATGTTTGTCCGAATGAACAAACATTCATTGCAAGACCGACCAAGAGTAAAAAATGCAATTTTTTTGAATTTAACCAGTGTCCAATTTTTATGGCGCCGAGTTTTCTATTCATCAACGACATCTAGTTTAATAAATTTTAATTTTATTTTTTTGAAAAACAATTTAAGCCGAAAACGTTACCACTATCATGAATGAAGAAAAAACGTATCATTACCGGTAATAAATAAGGAAAAAACCTGGCAACAACAATCATTGATGATGGACGACCAAATTACCGATAGGGATGAATACGACACGAACGGATCATAATTAAACCGGCTGGCAACCCAAGTTTTTTTTTGTTGTTTTTTATCGATTACCGACAAAAAGATACGGGCAACCAAGCGTACCGACGCGTGACAAACTATCTGCGAATGTACGTAGATTAAAATTTTGAAAAAATTCAGCAACAAAAACATGTCAAAAAAAGTGGAAAAATTTTATTTAATTGAATGATAAAATTAAGACGATTTGTTTTTAATGTTCATTGATCGCTCATATTTATACGAAATTGGTTTTGATTTTGTAGCCAAAAATATTTTTATTTATTGATCGTGAATAATAGTTCACCACAAAATTATGATCATTCAGATCTTGTACACTTGTTGCTGTGACAAATAATATAAGCTTTGATGATGTTAATTGGAAATGGCGGAGACAGATACGGTGATCGGTGATTCGAACTGTCATTCAATGTCATCATCATATATTAAAAATGTCAGGATATTTGTCTATAGATAGGCGAATGTCTGCTGTTTCGTTTATTTTTACAATTGTTTTATCATCAGAAATTTTTTCGCTTTTGTTTTTCTCTGAGATCATTGAACAAGTTTTGTATACATTGATTGAACAGAATGCTGATTATTTCCAACTATCAAGCAAATCTTTTTGATTGAAATAATATCCCACCAACAAGATGATCAGATTTAATGAAGCAAGTTTTTGGAATAATATGCTACATTTATCATCATCAACAATGTGGTCAACCGCAGCTGCCATTTTCGCATCATCATCATCATTGCCCTTAACATTCTCTTCGAGATAGATTTGAAACTCATTTCGTATACGGCTACAAAGACGCGTAATCTTCCGTAATAGACAATAGGTATCATCAGGTTGAATGGAATCCAATGCGGCCAACAGTGAATAAAACCATAATCCTCTTTCTATGGTGTATTGATCATGATCATCTTCCAGCAACCATTGGTAATGATAGCATAATAATCGACAAATTTCTTTTTGACTAATACGTGCTAGTAATGATAATCTAGGTATATTTGTTTGATAATTATTTTCAGGCTTATATTTCAAATCATTTGATTGGTTATTATAACTGAAACAATATTCTCGCCACCATTTACGGGTACGTTTGATTAATTTGTTGTCATCAGCATATTTTTTCCTTAAATCATCGATATGTTGACGTAATGTTAAAAATGATTCAATAACTGATGGAATTATTAATTGTTCATGAATTTCAAATGCAGGTAATGAACGTATGAATTCATTTTCTTTGATCGATTCCACATGGTAATCATAACATTTTGGTTTTCGAACGAAAAATTGTTCGGCTACTTTTATATTAGGTTCTTGTTGTGCTTCAAGTTGAACTCGTCGCAGATAATCGGCACCATTTTCCGGTGGAATATTTGGATCATAACTATCGAATGTTGCTACGGGTAATCGAGGAACTAGGTTTAACAGGGCATCATAATCATCAAGTTTGTCATCATCATTATCGTTGAAGATATTCATGATTCGATTGTCATTTGGATTTTAAACATATGTCTCAACTTTAGACAATTCAAAACTTATTCATAGAAGACGAGCAGCTATATTCTTACATTCAATCTCATAAACTCAATTGTTGAAACCACCTGTGATGAAATATGATCCTTAAACTTTTGAGAAATATTAATCGATTCAAATGTTACGATAATTTTTCGTACATTAATAGCTTACGTTATTTTTCGAATCCATCATCATCGGGAAAGCTTTACATCCAGGGACAAAATGATCCCGAACGCCCTAAAATTCGAGAATATTTCTATTACATTGATCACAATGGAATGGTAATTTTAATTTTAAATGATAAATTGAATCAAGTTATTCATAAATGACTTTAGTTATTTTTAGACGATTCTCGCATGAAAAATTTTACTAGTTGTTTCAAGGAAAAACAATTTTTGAATTTCTTTTTTAAAAATATAAAATATAATAAAACGGGACGTTATGAGAAAGAGTTTCCATACATTTCATTGTGTGGCATCGAAAGGAATTATATAAGGTGCGATGATGTACCAATCGTTTATACGCATATTATTCCAAATACGAAAGATTCATCGAAAAATGAATTTAATTTGATCATTGCTTATTCGGATCTAGTTTATCCATTCAATCCCGAATCATTATATATGTTACCGGAATCAATCAATTCCGAAAAAGATAGTGATGATGATGATGAAAATATCCTGAGACATGGTGGACGTATCTATCACGAAGCCGATGAAAGATTTGGAAATTATGGATTGATACGGTCAATACTTGCCCAAGAGATTGGTAACTTGTTCGTTTTGAATGAACAACGAATACCAATCATTTTCAAATGGAATGGAGTCGAATACAGGCTTTCAAATCAATTAGCTTCAATAATCATTGGAAACAAGGACAAATAAATCGGACAATAAATTTTATTCACATTTTTCTTATATACTATTCAATAATATTAGATTGTTCATGTCTTTATTGTATTTATAATTTAATTTTTCTTAAATCATTTGGACTTAGTTCTGTATAAAGCCTTAACAATTGATGTAATTCATTCGGATTCACTCGTAAAGCATTATAATTTTCTTTTGAATGTATGTAATCATTGATTTCATTGATATTCTCCGATGTGAATATGACCCCGATGAATTTTAGTTTAGAAAAATATTCTCTCAAACTAATAGTCGTCGGCGAAATGGAAGTTAGAAAATTGATAATGGCACGCACCTCACGATCTAATTGAAATCCACCAAACTATGAATGATTCAAATAAAAAAATGATTGTAAATTAGCAGATGTTTTGAATACTTTTATCAAACGAAATGATGGGAACTGGCAAATTGATTATTATACTGACCTTATTGAATGAACATTGAAACAGTGCTTTATACAATCGATTGGATATTTCCGCACTGATTACGGTCAAGAGAGTGTCGAAATTTTTTGCAGTTAATTGTTTTTTGAACGGAGCCAATGTTGAATTCATACTCATCAAGAAGGTTTGAATAAAAGGCCGCAAACCTTCACTGATTTCATAGGTGATAATATCTTCATCATTCAATGTATGACTAGTCGATATAAATGAATCTATCATAGATTTGACTATTGTTTTGAATACAGCTGCAAATAATTGTTGCATTCCCGATTGAATCAATATCCGAAACTTTGAAGTAAGTGAACTGAAATTAGAAAGACAACTATCGAACAGGTCGATTTGATTTTTTTGCAATACGCCGCTGTTGGTTACATCGACTGTTATGGTCTGGTTCAGTTTATTCATATATTCACAAGCAGTGTCTAGATTGTTCAATGCACAAATGAACATTATCTTCATTTGTTCAACATCGTTGGAAGATTGCAGATATCGGCCAGCTTGAAGGGCATTATAAGCATTGGCAAGATCCAATGTGGATAAAGCATTTGGATAACCACATTTGATTCGACTATGGATTACTTCATAGAAAATCGTCTCTAAAACAATAGTACAATGATTGATCATAGCCATGATAACATTGGCTGAACCACAAGATATGGCTCTTTTAAGGCATTTTTTAATAATGAAAAATATATCATCCAGCATGCTCGATGTAATTGCTGTAGAATCTAAATCTTTATGGTCAATATCAACCGAGTCCAATTGAATGGCTTTCTGTATCGATTCTTTTAGAAAATATTCTTCAAGCAAAACATAAATGGAATCTAGATCATGTATCACATGAGAAAGATTACAGTCTCTTATAAGGGAATCAATGTCTTGACACTGAAATCGAATGGGTAGTTTATCATGTAGTTGATCGACTTTTTCATTGTTTTTGGCAGCTTCGATATCGGAGATCAAACGGTTGGATATGAAGTTTAGGTAAGTCTGATTACGATTTAACATGTACATAATATCGTTCAGATGTTTGTCAACTACTTTTGGATCTAGTTTGCTTATATTCTGTGTATTGGAAAAATTTTTCAAAGCTCGCGATACATTCGATACAAGGGATGTGAAAGTTTTTTCATTCTGATAATCTTCAATAATCAGCTTTGCTTGTATGTCACATTCTTTTTGCAATTTAGCGACAACTGGAAATAGATTTCCCGGACCATAATATGTTTCGATCAACGGGTAATAAACATCGATTTTTTGCGCAATCGTTTCGAAAAGGTTTGACAGTTTGGCCAACGTAACAGAACCTTTTGTAGCGGCATTGATTTTTTTGTTCGTTATTTCTTCAATGATCTGTGACCAAAGATAATCGGAAAATCGATCCAAACCTTGCTTGTGTTGTTTAATCAACGGAAATATTTTAAAGAATCGTTCAACACTAGCACTGTCCTTATGAGCAACAGCTTTATCGAATCGTGTCATAACTATTGATCTAAGATTTTGTTCTGCTTCATGCAATTTCACGAAAGATTGTTCCAATGAACAAGTATCCAGTATTTCATTATTCCCGCTCAGACTTTCATCTAATGCCGTTTTTCTTAGCATAGATTCATCCATAGACAAAAACCTGTAGATATGTCGGGCAGCTTTCTCGTAATCTTCATCGGCCAATGATTTTTGTATTCCATCCGTACACGATCTAAGGTCGATAATATCTTCCACTTGTTTCAAGCATTCACTCACACGATTTTTGACCAAATCAAATGAACGTATTTTATAGCTCACATTATCGGCCATGACGGATGTAAAATTCATCAAATTAGCCAAACGTTCAGCATCGCTTTCGATCAATGATATGTTGGCCATGTGTTTGATTAACGATGTCATCAATAATTGCAATTCATTTTCTTTTTTTAAAAATAAATCAATATCTTGTTCAACTAATTTTTCTTCTTCATTGAGATGTTCCAGTGTGCTCAATATATCTGATCGACTTTGAATGTGCCTAAATTCATCCATGATTAAAGAATTAAATTAAAATTAGATTACCAACAACAATATTCATCATTATCATCATCAATTGTTTGCACCAAATTGGAAAACGTCAGCTGTATCGGTCGTGGTTCTATCGGCGTTTACTAGATGGCAGGCAAAAATATAATTAATTAACAAAAAAGCTGTAAATGCCAAATAATCAAATATTTATTGGGGATAAATATAATTCGAAAATAAATAATACAATGAATATGATTACACTGATTGTCTAATTGTATACAATTTTTTTGGCCCAAGATAGACCAGAGATCGATGTCGTACAATAATTACGATTGGGATGTCCCGCTGTACTGGATAAATTACCATTTGCACCAAAATAATCAACACTTGAATCTAAAGAAAACTTTTCCTTCAATAATTTATGTTTCACTTTGTCGATTATTGACGAGTTTTCTGGTTCAGTGAAATCGATATAATTTTTATCATCGTTTTTCATATTTATGACACGATCATTGAAATCCTTCATTTTATCTTCGATAGTTCTTCTCAGTTGTTCCGTGTCAAGATCTAATTTATCGATATTAGCAATGTGCTTCAATTGTTTGATATCATCAAATTCGAATACTTGTTTAGCGAATGCAATTACTTCAAATATAAAATTACATGTCGATGTCCATTTATTGAATTTACTGGACATTTTTAGTTGACCAGTCTGTTCATTCAACAGCGGATGATGAGGTATTGGATCAAATATTATTTGCTATAAAAAGAATAATTAGGAAAAATTATAAACTAATCTTCAAACGAACCGGTATATCACAATTGGGATAAGATGGGCTGATGTGAATGGAGAAGCGAAATATTTTTCCTTTGTATAAACCATGATGGATAAACATTACACCAAACCATTCGAATGCTGATTCATAAGATGGTGATATGTAAACATGGAGAAATTCCTGCTTTTGAAACAAAACGCTAAATGATCCAATGAATAGAATTAGAACAATTCTCAAAAATTCTGATAAAATACAAACAATTCTTTCATGAGTTGATATTCAATGAAAATTGATGAACATTGTGATGATGATGGCGGTAATGATTGTGTTGATTGATTCAATGGAAATCGATCCGAATTAGATGTTTTAGTGGTCGACTGTTGTTGAGGGAATTCCATAACTGAATGGCGCGTATTGTCCTGTAACGTGTAACAATGATCGAATACAGAAATTTAAAATAATTTTTGACGATGAGGTTCAAAATCATGCAACGAAATTGAATCTAATGTCAAATATATATTTTGTAGGCGTTATGAACAATGAAAAAATGTATTGTTCGGTTCGTCATCAAAGCCATCATCAAATGATTACATGTAAATATCAATTGTTTAAAGCGTAAAAGTTGATAAACAGGTATGTGTTGTGAGTAAAACATCATTTGCCAAACCGTCATCTATTGAAAACCCCGACAGGAATTATTGAAAATTATTTTTATTTGAATCAAATGAAAGACAAAACTTTTGAAAACTAAATATGAATTCAGATTTAATTTTTTCTTTAAAATAATCAATTCGATAAAATCTTTATGTGTGAGTGTTGTGTGTATTGTTTTTTTTCATAATAACCATCAATTTTTTGAAAATTCTTTATCACTTTGATGTGTGTATAATGCTTAAAATGGGGTTTGAAGTGATGGAGGAAACATAATTTTTAAACTAAAAAAAAATCAAATAATTATGATGAAATAATTTTGTGAATAAAAATGTTATTAAATGAAAATAAACGAATTGGAAGCTTAATTTTTCATTTGAAATGGAAAATAAAACTTATCCCAGTTTCGAATCAAACGTCTAAACATGTGTACACACATTTCAAAATTTCATTGGTTTATCTGTTTTGTTTGTTGTTATTATTAATAATCTATATCAATATTGATACGGTAGCATAAAATTATTTATCGAGAACATATGCACAATGATTAAAATTTTTAATATATAAAGTTTGTAAATTTGAATATAATTGGGGATTCTTTTCAAAAGATTTTGAATAATAATAATAAAAAAAATTCGTGTCACAAGAATAGTAGCCAATGAAAAACATAAAATAGATGAAATGAAAATTACACAGCGGCCTGTGTGTGTATTTATGTGCGGGGGGAATTTCGGGAAAGGGTTGAAAGTTTGAATTATCATTCATTAACATAATCAATTATATCAATAATGTTATTGATTATCATCATAGCTGCATCGTACGAGCTTTTAAAATTATAGTTGCGTGTTCCGAGAAGAAAGCGGTCCAATGTTTCGTGTGTGTTTTATATCATGTAATCAAATATTCGAGTTAATTTTCGTCAATAATATTGAGAGCTCTTTTTGTTTAGTATCTGTGTAAAAACTGATCAATGATTTAAAATATGAGGCAGATGATCGAATGGTAATGAATAAATTTTTTGTTTGTCGAATTTCGTTCAAATTTTTTGTAGAAAATATTGGTTGGTGATAGAGAGTGGCAGATTCATTTGTTGTTGATGATAATTATTATGATTTTTGTGTGATGTATTTGTCTTTTGTTTTGTTTGAGTGTATAGTAAAAGAGAGGCAAATCCGTTATTCGTATGAGATTGAGTAATCGTTCGAAATTTGATTCAATTGATTTACATTTGTTTTTTTTCTGTCACCGAGATGAAAAAATTTAATAAAAATCAAAAAGCGCCTTAACAATGGATGGATGGATGTATCGAACGAAACGTAGTTTAGAAATTAATTCAAAGTCATTGCATGTTGTTCTTCTTTATCCTTTTTCGATTTACGTTTGGAAAAGAATGACAATGAATGTCCTTTTTTCTTCTTTTTCTTTTCCTCTTTCATTGGTGAACCCTGTTTAAGAATGGACATTAAACATTACAATCAGTAGAAAATAAATTAAATCTTACCTCTCTAGATAAGGTATCAGCACCACTAGCTCCACGTTCAATTGTACCATGTTTATCATCGCCATTAACATTTGATTCTAGATTTAAGACAGAAAAAAAATTTCAAAATAATTTTTTAAAAAATTATGTTCAGAATTGGAAAAATAATTTCATTACTTCCTTAACGCGACAAATTACAAAATTTACAAATCTTATATAATTTATGCAAATATTACAAAGAACCCATAACCGACACCCACATACATTCACAAAACAATTAACTCTCACAAACTTAAGAACTTACGTGATCTTTGTGGTTTTCGTTCGGACCTAAATCGTCCTCTAGCAAACAATTTATCTTCGGTGGCTGATTAGCAATGGCATTTGTTTGTTTCAAATATATTATTGTGTTAGCAACATTCCAAGACGGGCAAACGTACGAATAAAACAGTTAAGGTATGTGTATTGATCATGATCAATTAAAATACAAGACAAGACACATAAGCAGGATTGAATTGTTGTGGTAATATTTAACATGCAACAAATTGAATAAAAATTAGGTCAAAAAAAATTATAACAATTTTAGTGTCAATTTTGTTCAATACAAACGGACGGGTAAAAAATAAAAAAAAAGATCAAAATAAATTAATAATGCATAAAACAGAAAAAAATAAATAAAAATACTAAGGAAAAATTAACAAGCAAATCAGCCAGATGAAGAACAGGAAACAACATAAATAGAAATAAAGTGGTAGGAAGAAGTAGCAGTAATTTAATGTTTTGATGTAGGATACGGACAACAAAAACAATAACAACAACATTTGTAACAACACGAAATAATTTTCGACCACCAGGAAATTTTATGAGCCATCACTTGTTTTTTTTTGCAAACATCAAATCAGCATCATTTAATTATTCATTCATTCAATCATTCATTCATTTAATGTTGGTGAAATTTTTTATTTATGGCGACAAACTATAACAAACAAATCAACGAAGCCTTACCTTTTTGACTTTGACTTGGTTCAGAATAATCTGCTTCTGTGTATGTTGCTGAAACAAGTTTTGTTGTCACAAATTGAGAATTTGAAATGTGTAGTGTTTTTTAGAATTATTTTCATTTTTGTCAAAGAATAGAGGCAGGCAGAAAGACAGACAAACAGGCAAGACCATTATAGAAAAAGAAAGAGCAAGAAAAAGAGATCCGAGATGAAAATATATAATAAGAAAAAAATAGAAAAAGATTATGCAATAAATTAACTGAATATTGTACTGTGTATTGAGAATAAGTTATTAAAGTAAGTTTGTTTGTAAATGACAAAAGATATAGACAAAGAATCGAGTTATTATAAACATGAGAAGATTTACCAAAAAAAGACAGATAAAATTGGTACAGAAAGATAGAGATATGATCTATATAAGGGCAAGATAAAAACTTTACCTTTAAGAGCTAATCTAGCTGAATGTGATCTATGTACTCCTCTACCATCAGTCAGATCTATACTCAGAAAATATCACATTTTTGAGGAACCATTTTGGATGTTAATGTGTTTGTGTCGGCATTGGAATCGCGTTATTTTTTGTGGGTGATTTTAGTCGGTTTAGTATTTGTGTAGATTTGTGCGTATATATGGTAACGGAATAACATTTTAAAAAAATACAATTCAGTCGCAAACGATTGAGGTTAGTAGGGCAACGACAATAAATACAAATGTAATTTGTTTTAGTTTTGTGATGAGGAAATGTATTGCATTTGGGGTATTAAAAATAAAATACAAAAAAAACAGGTGAATAACGAAAAGTTATAATCAAAATAAAATCAAAGAAAAAGGTCAAATGATCTAAAATTCGTGATAGCGTGAAATCGATTAGAAAATATTATCTTACCTTCTTCATCGGAAAGAGGTGATGTCGGTGATGTAGGACTAGCAATGTCTTGTGAATCTTGTTGATTAAAAGACATTGGTTCAATCATTAAATGTTTCATTTTATCTGGAATATCAACTAAATTCAAAAAGATGAGAGATAATGGCTTGATTAGAGAAAATTTTCAATTACCATTTTCACCACGTTGTTTACGTTCAATAAGTTTACGATATTCAATTAATTCTTCTTCGGTGACACCATCAAATGGATTTTTAGCGTATGCGCTTCGATAAACAGTAGCATTATGTTGGAAATCTCGTTGAATAATTCCTTTGGATGCGGCACCCAAATACACACGGCCACCATCAATATTATCCTGTTGTGCAGCACGTCTTGCATCATCCCAATTAGCTCCTTCTAAGATTAAACTTTGTGGTCCACTGGAAATAGTATTTTTCATTCGAACCTCTTTCATCTGAACACAAAAAAATACAAATGATTGATTGCAAAATGAATAATTCAAAATATTTACAAATACAAACCTCTTTCTGTTTTCGTTTGAATTCTCCCGGATCGCCTCCATTAACACCAACAAATTGATTATGACTTTCAATTTTGACCGGAGTGCTATGATTGGGAGATACACCATCTTGTACCCACTGTAAGTGAATGAAAATTCATTGAATCACAATCCAATACATGTATAAATGAAAACAAAACAAACCTTGGTTATCTTTTTTGGATCCATTGTTCCCGATTCAAGCACCTCGACTTTTTGATAGCTATTTGGAGAATTAACCCAATTCAATTTATCCTGTGTACGTTTTCCCTGTACCAATTTTCGTAACGGGCTAAGCCATTTATCCTCTTCATATTGGCCAGCGTGTGATGTGACAGCCGGTGGTACTTCAACATCTGAACGTGGTCGTGATGATTCGGCACGCAATAAAGGCTGACGATATATGTAGCCAGTACGGAATCCCTACAGTTACATTCAGGTTAGCAGCAAAAAAGACAATAAAGCATTCATAATCGATAAATCACGATTGCAAATTGTCAAAATAATATGAGAAAAAATTATTAAACAATAGAATCGTTGCTTCAAGACACAAAAAAATAACAATCAACTAACCGCATTGTCTAACATACGCATCCGTGCTTCGAATTCCAGATCCCAGATTTTCCATTTTTTGGGCTTATGTTTATCATCTTTTGAGTCAAGACCTTGTACAGAGGCGCCAGCATCATCACGAAGAACTTTTTGCACCTCTTCAAATGTTTCTTGTGGCAGTAATTGAATGTTCTCCATTCCCACCTGTGCGAGACGAATTTGTGTCTCACAAGCCAATACAAGATTATACATAAGGAAGAATGCCTCCTCTAATGATTCACCACAAGTAACAACGCCATGATTTCGTAGTATCAAAACCTAATGATTCAAAATATAAGAAATGAGTAAGAGGTAAATTATCATCTTTAAATATAAATACCTTGTTACTTGGTCCCAGATTTCGAACAATATCGGCTCTTTCCTCTGGATTTACCAATAGGCCACGATAATCATGGTAGCTAATATGACCTAGAACACAAGATTCTTGACAACAAAGCATCAGACCTTGTTTCATGGCCGATACAGCGACACAAGGACCATAATGAAGATGTATGACGGCATTAATGTCTGGACGAGCTGCATGAATGGCCGAATGTAATACATAACCAGCTCTGATAAAAAAATTATTATTTATCATTCAAAAAGATAATTACTTATGCATAATTACTTGTTGAATGTAAAATTCGTTGAACCAGGATCGACAACGTTGCCTTGTAGATCGACTTTTATCAAAGATGAAGCAGTCACTTCGTCATATTGCAATCCGAATGGATTTAATAAGAAATGTTCCTGTTCTCGACTGACTCTAACCGTGATGTGATTGTAAATGCTCATCGACCATCCATAAAGATCGACCAAACGATAAACAGATGCCAATTTACAGCGAAGTAATTTTTCTCCCTTAGCATATTTGAGCCCATCAACGCCACGGATATCATTGATTGGCGGTCCAGAATGTCCCAAACGCGATGCACGACTACTGGTACCAGGCATCAATAATTCAGTCACCTGTTGCAAGGCCGATAATGATGCAGGTAAATAACCATCATTTAATTGTGACTCGATTATACGTTCCAATTCTTCACGGAACACCTGGCTATTTAATATGACATCAACACGACGACGACGATCCATTTCCTTCATATCTTGTTCAATATCCGGTGGACGCATCATTTCACGTTGAGTTTCTGGATCATCAGGATCGAATTCCTCATTATGATGATTATTCACCGCTTGGGTGGCCATTTTTATGTTTACCTATTTGTTATTAGTTAAACGAGTAGTGTATGATAAAAAATTTTATGTTTGTTTTGAACAAACACGAAGAAATTTCAATAATGTTGATCCAAACTATAAAGAATTAAAATAATGATGTTGAAGATGACAATGAAAATTCCTTAATTACAGCTGCTTCAAGTAAACGAAATTCGTAAAGTTTTTCAGGTTTAGATTATCAATCGATCGTCAGTTATAATTTTTGTCTTCCTAAATTTAAAATTAAACACGAATAAAAAATTAATAAAAAAGATAATTTATTTTTCCAAATATAAGAAATCTTAATCATCATTTGTTGATTTATTTTTCTATTTTCAGTTATTTTGAATTCTCATGTCAGAAGACAATATTCAGGTTGTAGTAAAATTTAGACAAAAACTTTTTTAAGGTCAAGTTCAAAAATTTTCAACTTGCCTGACATAACAATTTACACCTCCACTGTTATCATGATTTTTCTTGATGATATGATATGATGGAAAATTCTGTATTATGTCAGTGTGTGGGAAGCAAAAATGAAAACTTCACTATTCTTATCAAATGAGAAAAAAATCAAATCAACCAAACAACATATCTTATGACACCTGGTTATATTAATTAAAATATAAAAGTTTTGGTTTCTCGCAATGTCAAATAAACAAATATCTGGATGATAAGAATTATACTAATCATAATAGCAGAAATCCACTTGTTCTTTTTTCCAAATAAGGATGTGGATAAATGAGAGATTTTGCAGAAATTAGAATATGAACAAAATCAATCACTTCCGTAATCATTCTTGTTCTCATTTCAAAAATATCAATAAAATAATCAAAATTAATTATGATAGGAATAAAATGAGATGAGAAAAAGGGGCAATAAAACTAGCATTTATATTCAGTTTACATACAGATCAGAAATTTTTGAAACCTTGAATTGTAGTGGCGATTCTATTTTTATTATTACTACAGCTATAAGTATATAGGTCGGTGTCATCATATCAATCAAACAGTATTCTAGTCATGTTTTATACTGACATTATTATTATTATTTGTATGCATTTTCGTAATTCAAAAGTGGAAATGATAATCATCGCAAAGAGCTAATTTTATACATGTTTTGCATATTGTTTTTCGCTCCAAAACAATCAGACAGTTTTATCTGAAGTCATTGATTATAAGCCTCGCGCATTTGTGATAGCGTGAATGTGTGACCACATCAAGTCGTCTGGTTTTATTTGTCGCATTATGACAGGAACTAAAATTGAAACCAGACGACAATTGACTATATGTAGACAAGTATCAATTTTTTTCCAAAAAAAATAATACATTTAAACATTTCTCTATAGATATTTATTCAATCAACGAAATCAGGACAAAACTGTAAAATAAAGAAACATCTAAAAGTAAATTGTAAACGCAAATGACAAACATCGATTTTTTTACAAAGAATGATCTTCGTTATTTACATTTTATTGTAATCGAATCAAATGCACATACACAAATACTGAGAACAATCTGATTGTATTCGTAGTCTGAAAACCAACATAATATTTTTTGACATATTATTTATGATTTTAAATGAGATATGGCTGCCACTATTATTTAAGTGGTAATCCAGAGCAACCAAGATTATCGACTGCTTAAAAAATTATTTGTCATCAATCGATTGAATGACGATAAGAAATTTTTAATTGAATGAAATCATTTCATTGAAATATGATATTGTATAAGTCGACAAAATATGGCATAGGATTTATCATCTCGTTCATATGTGAAAAGAATAAAAAATTTCGATGAATTTTCTTTTTCGACATTAAAAACACAACTCTAATATTTTTAAAAAATTGCCTAATGTTTATGAATCTTGAACCAACGACCTGAACATTCGTGTCAGACAATAATAAATTCTCTATCGTAAATTAAATAATATCACATAAGTTTTATGATTTAGAAATGTCGAAAAAAATGACAAACAAAACAAGAAGGAAATGAAATTAACATTCTTGATATCTATCTATACATAATAATATAATAAAGCCAGCATTTTTTCGCTATCTAGAATCTTACACGCTTGTTGAACAATATCAACATCGTAACATATGAACAAAAAGTGAAAGTGCCAAAAATAAAGATCATCCTCATTCGTCATTTTTCACTGAAACCAAAATAAATTTTTTTCAGTAAAATTAAGAATTGTTTAAAAGAATTTAAAAAAACAATCTTAAACAAATGGCGATGACATCGTATACGACAAAAAGAGTTCTGTTTTTTTTCGCAAACAAAACAAGAAAAAAACTTAAGTTTGTCAATGATGATAGTTTTATGAGGCAAATAAGTTATTATTTTTGAAATGAATCATTGATGACCATTACAACATTCTTGATCTATTTTGTAATCTTGAAATTATTAAATGTTACTAATTTCGAAAAAAATCTAACATTAATGACAAAACCGTCTGCAAATGATTTTATCATGTAATAATGGCTACAGTCATTTAAAAATAACAACAATTATTATGTGGATAAAATCGTAGAATACATTAGTCGCTCAAACTCTTTTATTCTCTCTTTAAAGATTAGAAGATTTAGTTGTCTACAACAGAAAACAGGATACAAATATATTTCAATTAAAGAGAAAAAGAGAAAGTAACCTTCAACTATCTCTTTCACTGTTTAAAAGTTTCGATGTTGAAATGACGATGACAATCATCCATGATTATATGTGGTGGCAAATTTAATGTGTGTAATGAACACATAATTACACACAATCGATTTAGGCATATTAAAAAAAACATGGCGAGTATTCATTCATTATTGTTTTCAATGATCTTAATGTTTATGTATGTTCGTTTTATTGATGATATGATACACGAACATCTTGATTGACCAACATACAATTAATAAAAATGAAAATTATTCAACAAGGTCAGTCATAACACGACGATTCTAACTTTCAATAGACATAATTTGTAAATGATTTTTTTCAACAAAAAAAACAAACATTCAATTCTTGATTAAAATTCCAAACTTCATCAACTATGGAATTGATGAATAGGAAAAAGTGTGATTATAACCGTAAAATATGCAAAGAAAACAACTTTTTTTTCTTTGTAATTACTTGAAAATGTGAATAAATACACCTAGTTTGTTTGATTTTCTATTTCAATAATGTTCATTTTGTCTGGTTTATTTTGTTCTATCACTTTGGTAAAAGTCAAATAAATCTTTTTTTTTCGAATTTGTTGATGAAAAAAAATTTGACATGCAACAAGTTAAGAATGAATTCATTTCATTCATGACAATAAGAGTCGACTGACCATTTATGGGCGAACAATTTTGGTTGTTACTTTACTATCATCAATCTATCACAACGAATAACATGTTTTTTAACAATAAAATATGGGTGATAAGGAAAACATGAGTGTGTAAACATGATATTGTAGTATTTATTACCAATGACATAGGCAATGAATGTCGATCAGGACACAAGCATGAAAACATATTAAAAAGGAAATTTCAAAAAACATAAATGATAATGATGATTTCATATTATCACAGAATAAATTTAGAAATTTTTTTTTTCTTTCTCACTACCGAATGTGATTGTTGCCATAAATATTCATTGTAAAATAGCATAATGGAGCTTACCGATTTAAGCAATGATTAAATAAGCTTTGATATGACAATAATAAAATATAATGACCGAGAATGAATGATGTTGACAAATTTTTCTTGTTGTTGTTGTTATAAATATCATCCAAATTGAATCAATATGATGATTTATAAGCATACAAAAATAGATAAAAGGATATAACGACTGTAATGATTATAATTATTATCATCATCGTGATATCCAATTTTTTTTCTTCCTCTCATATGTGTGTGTAAGTAATGATAAATGTAAATCAATATAGATTGGAAAAACTGAATGATCAAATTATTTTACATTGATTCATTGACAAATAAAAAAATATTATAGAGATAACAGCAAATGCTCTTCATTATAATCAATCGGCAAATATGGGAAAAATGGGCCATAATCAACACCATAGTAAAAACAGATTATCAACCAAAACAGAGGGGATACGAAAAGAGAGGGAGATCGAATGTAAGTATCAAGTTGGAGAAAAGAAAATATAAAATTTCTTAATGTTTCAATTCAATGCTATAATTGTTTGTAGTTGTGTATCCTGGATTGAATTATGTATTATAATCATCGTTAAATGGAAAAATAAAAATTTTAAACGATGATTTGGTATGGATGACTGGTAAGCAGCAACAGCCTTTGAATCAATGAATATATCATTATTATTATCATTATAATTGATGTTGATCATCATCAATGATGGTTGTCTGGTTGTTTTTATTTGTATGTTTTTTAAGGTTGAATTGTGTGGTTCGATGCCGTGGATGGACTTTGAAATTGGGCGAGGAGTGAATAACGAAACGCCAACCACCCGAAAAACCGGCAAAATTAACATTTTTTTCATAAGAAAAAGGCTAAAGAACAAATTGTGTACAGACATTTGAATGTTGAAGGCAGTACAATTTAATTATGCGTGTGTATGATGATGATGATGATAACTGCTCATCTTTTATTATCGATCATAGGAAATGCTTTTATTTCAACAAATTATGCATGTGTGAATTTGAGAACATTGAGCTATTGATTTGACAAATGGATTATGAGAATAAATAAAAATTTTATCAAGAATTGAAACAATATGATGAAAATTGAGATTATCATTCAACAATGCCAAATAAACAACTTTTGATGGTCATGAACAATTGAAAACAAAAACTATGAATTAAATGGAGAAGATATTCGATACGAAATAATTCGAACATTCATACATTGGTGATTAGATTGCCTGAATGTGGGTGTGTGCGTACGAAATCTAAATTTTACGATTCTATTTTGGTTTTCTCAACAAAACACATCATTCAAATATCTTCTGAACTTTTAAAATAAGATGATTCGAAATGCTTACCGCAAATAGAAATAGAGCCACAAATAACTAAAAAAAATCTTTGTTCTTAGCTCAAGGGTTTGGTCGATTGTTTGGCGATTGTTGATTGTCGTCGGCTAACGTCAAAACTGATGAATTATTATGATGATGTTCGATGTCAATTATAAAAAAATGTTGCGAAATAAAGGAGGAAAGTTTTTTATTTGAAAAATATTATTCCCGATCCTATGGATCATTATCAATAACACAAACAACAAACACAACAACAAACAAACATTGGCATCAACATAACAAACAGGAAAAAAGCTGCATCAAATGTTCGTTTGGAGTAATACTTGGATGAATCAAGCAAAATATAAAAATCACTAATTATGATTCTGCAACAACACAACAGCAAACAATTTGCCTATGCGACTCCAAAAGCATTAAGCAATGAGATACATAAACACATACGGATACAATTTCTTGCTCACACGAATACGAATCATAGCAGCATCAGGTCTACCATTTGGTCGTAGTGGAATCATTTTGACCTGTATCCAATCCTATTGGACAAGATAGTGGATCCTTTTTCAAACATAGTGGCATAGTTGGAAATCGGATATTTTCTAATATTTTTTTTTCTAATTTTTATACAGTATATCTTCTCTTTTTTACAGTTTAAAGAATCGATGGAATTCCTTATTCGATATGATATTTTTTTTTATGATCCAGGTGATCATAAGGTCAAATGGCCATTATTAATTTTTTTTATTCAAGTCAATCCGAAAATCGAGTATAAATCATAGTTCAATTTTTTAAAATCAATTCTACCTGAATGAAAAAAAACGCTGAATCAATTTTATCATGGCCATTTTTACACACGATATTTTTTTCAATCCATGAACTTTTATATTTGTCCACAGAATTTAGTGACCCTAAAAGAATCTAGATTTCCGTAATTTAGTTCGATTAACTAAAATATAAATACGATGAATTAATTTGATTCGAGGTTAGGGCGCGGTTATGCATGTGTATGTCTGCAACTTTGCAATCAAAATTTGGTTGTGGTGGCTCCATGAAACAGTGGCGCTCATGTTTCAAGAATTCATTGCATATCCACGTTGTATCATTTGTGTATATCGGTTGGCTGGTTAGTTTGTTCAGACGATACGATTCCTTTTTATAAATAAAAAAAGAGAAAGAGAGGGAGAGACAGACAAGCTGATCGACTATGTTACAGTCAAACTTCGCAGTTTGGATATAATTCAAATCTTTCAATTTTTTTTTCTGTCATTCCTATCATCCAAGTTGAGTCATACAAAAATTGCAAAAATAGCTAATACAATAATACTGTATTGAATCGGGTGTGATGTGTTTGTGTGTATAATTGTATGGATCGATTGTTTGCCATTGTTTTTTAGCTGTAGATAATTATGTAAATGGTTGGTTGAATCAGCCATCGTTTTCATTCAGATGAACAATAAATTGATGAAATTTGACAATCAACACATGACTAGCCATGGAAATCGGTCATTATTAAAGGATAATGGAAGAATGAAATTGTGAAATTCAGATCCCGAACCGAGTAAACATTCATAGATTGTATTGGCTAAAGATAACTAAAAGATTATGTTTAAAAAACTAAAATTACTGCAATGCGGTCATCTGTAATGTACTGAATATTTTTGAAATCGAATACCACTACTTCTATCGAATGAGATCAATCGGCGAATCACATAATTCCATTCTTTCTTCAACTGAATTCAGTATCTAATATTCTAGGCCAGAATATTTGGGATATCACGCATGCTTGTTTCAAATCTAATCATTCAGCATCATTCATGGAATCTTGAACATCTATGCTTGTAATTGCTGCTACCACGCCTTTAGAATTTGAATCTATGTTTTCTTAAATTGATGAGATCATACATCAAGTATACTGTACGGAATCGGATGAAGATTTAAAAGAAAATTCTAAGCCGGTTACAGCTGTCCAAGCTTAAACCATCATCACAAGTCCTGGAACCATTCTCTGAATCGAACTTTCGTATCAAGTTTAAATTTATCAGAAAAATCAATGAATAAGTAGTTAGTTTGTTGATTTTTTTTTCTACCTTAATTCAAAATCAGAAACACGCCCTGAAGAAACCTTCCTTTTTCGGGCTATGTTTACACCACTTAAATTGTTTGCAATGCCTCTGAGCTTCAAAATGTCGTACTAATGATGATAATGATCATCATCATCATTATTCAGAATAATGTACAATTACGCCTTGTCACGATGTTGTCGTCGTAGGCCAAAGTATTGCAGATAGATGACATTCCAACCAAAGTGGTTGAGATTTTCTTTTGTATTCACTTTCACTGATTATATAAACGAAACGGTAACACCCGATTATCTCGATAGCAACCAAATAACATCGAAACAACAAATATCATAACAAAAAAAAACTTCGTTCAGAAATTCCATTTGTTATCATATAATTCAGATGTTATAATAGAAAATACATTACCGATATGTTGTTAGGTGTGTCGTATACACTTGTATATAATCTGAATGTATCATTTCACAAAAAAAGAATAATTTTTTTAAATCAATTTTTTTTAATTCAATAATGAAATATTGATCGCCATCTGGTGTTTAGGTATCATCTTTTTTTTTCATATCAATATAGGATTATTGTGATGTTATGTTATATCCTCACTCATGCTTTAATCATTTACATCCAATCAATCTATATTGAATTATATCTAACTTTTAAATAATCTGTCATGTTGATTTTGATTTTATTGAATGCTGATTAATTGTATTATGAATATTCAATTGTACTCTTCAATTATAAATTGACTTTATGGCTCGGTGGCGCAACGGTAGCGCGTCTGACTCCAGCATTTACTTGAAATTTAGTTATCAGTGTTGGGAGTTGATCAGAAGGTTGCGTGTTCAAATCACGTCCGGGTCATTTTTTTTCTTTTTTTCAATATGAAGATTTTCTATCATTAAATTGATAAATGAACGAAATTTTGTTTCAAATCAGAAATTCGCATTTTCTGAACTATTTTTGGCTTATAAAACTAATAAAGGTTTGATTAAAATTGCATTTATTTTTTTTAATTTAATGAAATACATTTTCTGTGCAAAAAATTATCTATATAATAAACACGAGAAGCGAAGCTTCTCGAGAGTGTCGTGCACAAAAAA